ATCTGTTCTTTCAGCCTAACAATAAATCCACTCTTCGCACCAGTCATCGCTTTTGCTCCGTCACTGCAAATAGCAATGCATTTATTTGCCCAATCGATATTCATATCTTGCGTAGCTTCAAGGAATATGTTATGCAAGCACTGACCTGTAGTATTTGTGGGAAGCGCTCTGCAAAATAGTGTTTCTTCCATTAATTTTTCACTGGATTCAAAACGCACAAAAGCTACAAACTGCGCTCAATCCGCAATATCCGTGGATTCGTCAAATTGCAAAGATACAAAAGTGCTTTCCTTTATTTTTTCTGTGACTTGATCACGAACGTCAGTGGCCATATCGCTTACATACATGATAAAAAAGCGAAGGGTCGGGGGGTCGCGAAATATTTTTTCATACCAGGGGGGTCGCATCATGAAAAAGGTTGAAAAACACTGGTTTAGAGGAAAAAATGCGTGTTAGGCTTGCTGTTCAAATTCTAAGTAGAAGTGTTTCTGACGCTCTAATATTTGTTGAAAACGATTTGACATTACCTGACTTTGTTGGTTCTGAAGCAACTTTAGATTTCATATTACTTCTTAGTAATATTTTTGATATTTTTAATTCTAAAAATGTTTTTGCCAAATAAAAGTTCAAGCAACCTGCCTCTGAAAAGAATTGGCATGATATATGTAAATATTTCGATCGGGTGTGTAAATATATAATAGAATTAGAATTAAATAATGAACCCGTTGTTTTTAGTGGTAGGAAGACAGATTTCTTAGGGTTCCTAGTTTGCATTGAAAGCATGAAATGTTTGTTTTGAGATTCAGTAGTAATGAATAAAAATTTAATTTTATTCTTACTTACAAGCTTTCTCAGGACCAATTGAAACTTTTTTTAGTGCAGTTCGTAACAGATGTGGCTTCAATAACAATCCCACATGCAGATTGTTTTAAAATTGTTATAAAAAATGTTACGAATCAGATACTTCTGAAGAAAATTTGGTATCTACAAATGAGCTTCGTGACCATGATTACCTATCTACAGGGTGGCTCACGCTCAACGGGACGGAGCTTTCTTTATGGGAAAACGACCAAAGATATAAAAAATTCGTTTGGGAGGAATACGAAGGTTACAGACGGCTACAATTTAACATTTGTTAGATGTATACAGGATGTCCCACATAAGAGAAAATATACAAAGTTATATTATTTTTAATGGAACACCCTGTTTTTTATTTTAGAATTAAAAACTACATCAAAAATAATGTCAGTTAACTAAAGGTTCCCTATTACTATTATTATTAGTTTTCGATTTATTTGAATTTTTAAGGAAAAAAAGTCTCCCAGAAATTAATTGTTTACTCTTGTTTGAATAATTTTTAATGAACTAATTTTTTTTTCTTATGTGGGACATCCTGTATACATCTAACAAATTTTAAATTGTAGCCGTCTGTAACCTACGTATTCCTCCCAAACGAATTTTTTATATCTTTGGTCGTTTTCCCATAAAGCTCCGTCCCGTTGAGCGTGAGCCACCCTGTATATATTTTCTGAGCGAATACATTCAGGATGTAGTTGCTTATATTTCTGGTTTTATACTAAAATCCATAAAGAAAAAGATTCACTGCAAACAGTGTTCTGCAATTTTAGAAGGAGATTACAGTTTATCAAAACTACAAAATCAAAAACTTAGAAAAAGCTTCTAGATTTGTAGTTACTGTTTGTAGTGAAGCTGAAAAATGTATAAAAACAGTTTCAATGAACATACACAGTAATAATATTATTAACATTGCCAATATAAAATGTAAATTAGTGAATAGTTCTATGAGATATTTGCCTTCAAATATTTTTGATGTTTTTTCTAACCATATTTTTGATTTTGAACCACTTAATGACCATTGCATTACTGTCACGAAGCTCATTTTAGATAAATATATAGACATTCGACTTCATCATGAATTTAATAAATTAAAAACTGTTATTAAAGCCAGAATGAGAAGTTTACTTACCAAAAGCATTTTATTTCAGAATCAGTAATCTTTAATTTTAATTATTTGTTTTTATAATTTTTTGTCTATTTTTAAGTAATTGTTTCCATAACATGCTCTTATTCTTTATGTAAAATATTTTAATATATGTCCATCTACTAACTGTATATTGTGTCCAGACGGTACTAATTTTATCATTGAAGACAATAGTTTAAAGTAACCGCATTGAACAACAGTAAAAAGGTAGTCAAAAGATTCACAGGTTATTGTTCGGACAATGGCCTAGTAATTAATCCCTCAAAAAAATTTGTTCTACGATCACTATCTAAAGTAGGCATTTGCACATTCAAATCTAATTAGAAAGTTGACGTTTTTCGCGTATTGTCATAATTTGACATTATTGGCACAAACATGTGCCATAGTAACTTTAGCACACGCTTGCCTGTTTTCATTTGAATGAAATAAATGAAAGTTAATCGGTATTATAAAACAAAATGTAAGCTCTTCTAATAGTATATTACACACCGAGGTGGGAAGAGTTTCATTCCTGTCGTGAGATTAGTTAGATCACCGAGACGCGAAGCGTCGAGGTTAGCTATGATCTCGAGACAGGAATGAAACTTCCTACCGAGGTTTGTATACTATTTTATTTACAACCATCATATTTCGATCAAAGTTAATAAATCTCTGTTTCGTTCTGAACATACCTAAAATATTACATTTAACGACAAATTACCAAGCGCGCGGTTTTCTCAGAATAATCAAGTAAATATATTGTTACTGTGATTACGGGGTAAACAACTGTCACCAATATAAATAAATGTCAGATAAAGCCGGATATTAAATTCGCGAATAATAAATATCAATAAGTAGTTTGTTGTATTTTAGTTCATTGTTGTTTTTTATTGTTTGCCATTAATAGGTATTATATATCTAGAATAGATGAAATGAGGGCGGGAAGTAGAGGTGTGTAATGTGACACTTACCAATCTTCAATGACGTTAGTAATGACAACATTACATATATGGTTGTAAATAAAATATTAAATTGACTTCCTAATATTTTAAATCATTTAACAGTATTTACTGTAAATATTTAAACGAATAAATCATAAATAATTACCCGACACATAAGTACTAAAACCTTTTATCGTCAACTGACTTTTGGTCTCAACTGCCAAAGGTGCTACTTTCTGTTCTTAATACACAAATAACTATTTTGTCTTTTATCCCAAAATATGCTTTACAAAATATCAGTTATTTTATAACACTAAATAAATCTATTGAGCAGACTCTTCAACAAGAGTGTTTGTAGGACCCGGTGAATGATATTTTACAGGTGTTTGAACTCTTTTTAAAATATGGCACCAAAAACAGCATATTATATAAAAAATCCACCAGATGTCGGTAGAAGGTGAAGTACCTCAAATGAAAACAAATAATGACTTCGAACTGTCAGAAAAATTCAGTTAATTTTATCTTTATCGAGTAAAAAATACGTCTGTATCCATTTTTTGTTTTAATAATGGAAATTTATTAATGTTTACTAATCATACTCTATGTAAGAAACGAAAGGGAAAGTAAAATGAGAAGAAAAAGAAAAATACTATACCACATACTTATAATAACTACCCATATATTTCATCAAAACAAAGTGAGAAAACATTTCATCATTTTTAGTGTACAAGACAACAATAATTAAATAAGGAAAATAGTGTGTATTCTTTCCTAGAAAATTGTAAATATTGTTGAAATGGATTTTGAAAAAATAAGTGTTAAATGCCATTTTGATGTTATGATGTTAAAGGTAGGTCTTTTCAAGTGTGGAAATTTTATTATTATTCGCCAAGAGCCTTGCATTATAAATGTAAAAAAAGAACAAATTATTATCATTACATTCTTGTTTACACTTAAGGTCAGTCACTATTAGTCCCGCTCTTATTTTGACATCTGAGCATGCGTAGATTACTTACATTCTAGAACTGACTTTAATAAATATTGTGCCTGCCTTAATTGTGGATGTTTAAGGACAGCAGTTAGTGCCGCTCACCAACATTCGTATCAGTTCGAAGTTTTTTAATATTAAATATTTAATATCATCGTCATCTAACCTTCTACAATGATAATTTCTAATGCCTCTTTTCTATTATGTACTATTATAAACAACAAAAAAGATGACCTGTAATTTAAAATTTTAAAAATGAGGTTAGGACAAGGACTCTAATGTCAAAATTTCAGGTTTGCAATAAGTCTTATTTTAGCATGGAATTTATTTGCCTCTAATTATGTTATCACTATTAGTGTCATGCTCCGTGAACATTAAAATAACCTGTCAAATGATTGACCAATCATCTGATGGCCAGATTTTGAAGTGGAACATGTTAATGGTAAAATATACTTTATCTAGCTCTTATAATGGTCAAACGGGTATCTCACCTTTTAACGACCTCTGGTGAATTTTTTGGAACTACGTTGTGTTTGGTGCCATATCGTCTTTTTTTTATATGGGATTTTAGAGAAGTTGAAACACCTATTGTCTTTCATCGTGTTGTAGGAGTAACTATTGATAGTAAAATGACATTCGAAATGTCTCAAAGGAAGCTTAATTCAGTTTTTTCTCAAGCTTATGTGTTTTAGCCTTGTTCAGATCTGATTACTCTCCTAAATGAGTTATGATACCATTACACAAATAATGCAACCCGAATGGTATGTTATGGAAAGATTCTATTTGTACATTTATGTGTATTTTCAATGTATTGATTATTTTTGATTAATCAATTATGCTCGATTAATAAATTTTCTAATATTTAATCGATTATTTCGATTAATCGATTATCTCAATTATTCGATTATTTCGATTATTCGATTATTTCGATTAATCGATTATTTCGATTAATCGATTACTTATTTTAATAATGGCCCCTACCTTTTCCTCTACTAATTTTGCAGATTTGAGGAAACGTAGCTACGGTTATGAGACATTCAAAAAACTACTGCAAATATAAGTAACTGAAGAATTAGATTTTGTTACTCACCTCTTTAGCGTTATAAGGATCAGAAACGCAATTAAAAGTGATATCAGAATTTTGCATGACATCACATGGCGCTATGTATGTGTTGACGAGGCCTGCTTTGTTGACGTCGTTTTCTGCCTGTGCTTTGAAGTCTTCGCACTGAAATAAAACGAAAATAGTTTACTTTTACGTATATTACTACTTTGTCATAATTTATTAATACAATTTTTTATGACTGCATTTATATGATACAAATTGAATCGTGAACTGTTGCTGAACATTTCACGACATGATTGCTAGCATTTTTCTATTCATTTCGATTAGTAAATTTTAAAATAAATAGAAATTGATGAAAATAATATTCATCTACAAATGGAAGAAATTCCAGTCAATTCGCAACAGTTGATGCTTTTGCCAACTATTTAGAACGCATCTTTCACCCGAACCCAGGAGAAGGTGAAGAAATTGAAATGGATGACAAGAGGAAATTAGTGATATAGTGAAAATATTATTAACTAAACCTGAGAAATAAAAATTATGTTAATATAAAAAAAGATCCCGGGTACAATCTGATCACATAAGAGATACTAAAGAAATTACCACGAAAAGATTTAGTATAACTGACCAATAAACACAGCATTTAGACTTCAACATGCTCCACTACTATGGATGCTGCTGAGGTAATAATGATACCAAAAATCGGAAAACCCCAATAATGAAATAACATCATGTAGACGTAGACCAATCTCGATTCTACCTGTGAAAACTATTTGAAAAATTGCTCTTAAGAAAACTGAATAAGATAATCGACAAAAAACAACTTAATCCGTCCCATCAATTCAGATTTCGATAAAACATTCTACGATTGATCAGATCCATCGCATAATAAACTAGATTCAAAGCAAGGATCATATAAAGTATGGAATCGATTATTATGAGACTTTCTCCCGTCATTCGTCTTTCTTCGATTCGTCTACTTTTTGCTTTGGTTGCTAAATATACTCTTAAAATAGATCGACGATCTAGATGTAGTAACCGCTTTCCTTGATGGTGACCAAGAGGAAGAAATTTTCATGTATCAGCCAGAATGGTTTATTGTTGAGGGGAAGGAACAGAAAGTATGTTTTGTTCTCAAGGAGCTCTATGGATTGAAGCATGAAGCTGAAACTAGCAGCCACAGCAGCCTGTGTGAGAAAATGCATACAAGTTAGATATTACAAAATAAAGCAATTTTACTACTTAATTTGTCTTATTATAGTAATATTAGTAATAATAATAATAACAAAGGGAGGTTATCCGTATTTGAAAAAATAAATATTAGTAAAAATTAAATGAATATAGGTACTTTAAAAAAAAACTTTAAATATATATTCCGATTTTTCTTAACGAAAAATTATCGGCGCTGGGTTAAATCATGCATAAATAGATTCCTCAAGTAATAGGCTACAAGAACACATCAATCGAAAATACAATATCGAGTGCTCGATTGTTGAAATGATTATATTTGTATGCTAAAGTAATACCTAACACAACAAACATTGTTTTAAGCTATTGCATAGCTTTTATCTCGGGCTTTGAGCGCGGCCACCGAATCAAGAAAAAAAAAACGAAACCGTAACGAAAAAACCTAAAACCCCCCACTCCGACCGGCACAGCGGTGCGGCGTTAAACAATATTAACTTCTCATTTATTCAATAAAAGAAAATCGAAAAAGAAATTCCGTAACGAAAATAAACCTAACATCCCCCCACTCCGACCGGCACAGCGGTGCGGCGTTGAAAGCCGTGCATCGTCTAACATCGTTTCAGTTCGTTAGACTTCGGCACGGTGTTTGTGTGCGTGCGACTAGACGTATGCGTGTAGACTAGCTGCTGAATCTATCTCTTTTAGACACAATTTGGGAAAAATTTAATTTGAAAATGAATAATGATCTACAAGAATCCAATCCACAACAAAATATGAGACCACCATTGACGCGGTATTTTCCAGATATTTAGAGGATATCAAGTCTCAAATTTATGTTTCTTATTTCAGTTACCATAAACCTATAGTTTCAATGATAAAAATTCCTGAATAACCTACATGTATTGTAAGATAATAAAAATATTTTAAACAATATTAATTTCTCATTTATTCAAAGAAAGAAAAAAATTTGTTTTCTTATCGGTCACCACGCTCAAAAAGTGTAACTTGAATTAATATCAAAGAAAAAACTTGAATTAATATCAAAGAAAAAAAAATACTGCATAAATAAAATAAATAATTACAATTGCATAAGTTGATAAAAAATGTTATGCAATAGCTTTATCGCGGCAGTCCCCGAGTGCCACATGTATTTTTTTTTTATAAAAAATTAACAGCACTGGGTTTTATCATACATAAATGGAATCCTCAAGCAATATGCTATAAGAATCAGTTAACCAAAAGTACAATATCGAGTGCTAGAACATTGAAAATATCAAAAACATTTAGGCTCGAGATACATTTCCAATAAAAATGTGGTTTCTCTTAACGAAACATTATCGGCGCTGGGTTCAATGGATTCCTAATCAATAGGCTATAAGAAAACGTCAATCAAACGATCCTTTTCGAAAACTCCGACCTACTAGCAACATCAAGACATTATTCGACCAGATTGCCCTTGGAAGTTATAGAAATACACAAACATAAAAAGAACTTTACTAGAAAGGAAGAAAAAAACATTACCTAGAATTTGGCACACATCATTAAAAAGCGCAAAAATAAAACCAGTTCACGCTGGGTTCTAGTTCAACCCTACCGATTTTTCGGTAGATGGAATCATTATACCTATATACCGATTTAGGAATCAATCTACAGAATTATGGGACCTCATCTAACAGTATTTGACTTTTTTCAATTTCAATTTTATCGATCCTGATATAGTGAAAGATGGTTCTATAAACTCTATTTCGAAAGTAGCACTGTTATTTCCAAATTTAATAACAGAAAACCAAATGCAAATACTCGACAATGAATGGCGGTCCTTAAGAAATGTTTAGGAAATTCTGGGTTTTCAGACGATGCCACATTATTTTGGCAAGAAGTAAATAAATTGAAAAAGGGTGACGGAACTGCAATGTTCCCTATTTTGAGTTCCTTTGCTTTCAATATATTATCTCTTCCACATTCCTCAGTTAATGTAGTGTAGAAAGAATATTTTCGGCTATCAATCTAATGAAAACTAAGCAACGAAACAAATTAAATACCGAAAGCATAATAGGATTGCTACATGCTAAAAATATATAGGTAACAGCAATTGTTACACTTTTCCCGTTAAAAAAAACAATTACTGTCGTTTATGAACAGAAACAATTTATACAAGGAAGATTAAATTGGTTATTAAGAATATATTTAGAATATTGTGTATTTTTTAATGAGTTTGTGTTATTCTCCTTTTGTACATTCACAAAAAAAAATTTTCCTCATTGTATTTTTTGTAAAATTGAAATTGTTTTCTATTTTAAATAGTTTTTTATGTTAAATAGTTTTTTATTTTAAATAGTTTTTTTTTTCAAATTAGTCTCCTACCGATTTTAGAATTTTCAGGTTGGCAACACTGGTCGAGGTTATGTTCGCCGTTCGGATGCAGACATTGAGCCAATAAAAAACATGTATCTGGCCATGTGACCACGCATGTGTCAACGAGATACTAAATTGACATGGTAGGTTTGTTTTGGATAGGAAATTATAATGGATTTATAATTATTTTATAAACAACATCAACTACAAATGTAATCAAAACGAAATATAATTATTTTGTTGATGTCTTGTCAAATCAAATATCATTTGATTGGTTTAAATATGCGAACCAACCATATTCGCAACGACCAACGAAGCACCAACGATCTTATAAATTGGGTCCAGCGCAAACCATAGATAAATTAATATTTAATTGATAAATGTACGGCACTGGTAACAAGTGGTTAGTTCCGGCCATACTTTTTGGAGCAACCATCGCAAATAAGATGAAAGCGATGTTGTCAGTTACCATAAAATTTCATGAGATTAGAGTTATTTCAAACGCACAAGCTGCGTCTTATTTTGTTTTTGTCGTGCTCGAATCATCCATACAATGGCCATACTATTGCTGGAATATTTTAAAGAGAGGTTTGACAACTGTGTTGATAACCTGGTAAAAAATGAAAAACGGAATGGCGGAGGACAAAATGGTCGAAAAACCCTCATAAACCATCATAAAATAAAGGTTATTATGATGTAGTGGATGTAGTTCATTTATCTTTAGATAATAACATTCGCTATCTTTGTGAAAATCATTTTTTGCCAGTTTCTTTTAATAAAATTGCTTCAAAACGTAAACGATTAATTGCAAATTCTGTACCAATTTTATTAGATAATAGTTCAACCAGTTTAGCTATACCCAACTATACTCAACCCGAGAGTCAGATTTTAGGATAGCACGTTATGTAAACTACAGGATTTAATACATTTACGCAAATTGACGACGCAGCGCGACCTGGCACGATACGCGTCGGCTCACAGACGTGTCACGCAGTAGTTCAGACACAGTTTCCCGTGTCACGCGTGTGGGTGACTTTGTTTTTTTTTTTATGAAAAAATGACAGAAGAAAAGTTCATAGATGCGGTAAGGGAACACAGTGAGCTTTACGTAGATTTGGGGTGATATTGCATGTGACTCGATGCCTTGTCGGATCATCTCAGCAAACTGGTTTCGATTCATTCGGAAATAATTAGTAAAATCAGCATCACTAATTTTAGTTGTAAATGTAAATTGTCCACTGTTTTTTCTCTTCGATAGAATAAATTTATTAGGTGATTTAAAGTTCTTCTTCATCAAGGAATAAAACAACATTTCCTCCTCAGCATCATCCGATTCTGATTCAGAACTTAAGTTCAATAATGCCAGATATTGTATCGTTCGTTTGTCAAAAATGTCGTACATTTTTTGATGCCGGCTAGTCGCGAACTGCCAATCAAATCCAAACCCCGCCGTTTCCTATTTGAAACCACGTGTTTCAATATGCAGATCACCACGCAGCACGTGTAGCATGTACGAGTCGTGTCATGTCACCTCACACGTGCTATACGTGTCCCAATTTGAGCCTTGCCTTATTTTCATAGCATGCTAAGACAAGGCGACTAAAAAAATTGTATAATGT